TGACTCTAGTTGCGTGAATTGTAGATCAAAAACGATGATGGATTTGAACTTGACTTTCCCTGATTCAAAACTCAGGGTAAAAGTATATACCAATGGATAAAGCCATAGATGAATAGACTCCCATGATGCACCTTGTATTATATTAATAAGCAAATCATTAGCTATCTGCTTGAGAAGACAGTGGAGTATTTACATAACAAAGCCACACACTGATGTCATCATTTCTTAGTATTTTAAGAAGATGGACACAAAATCAGATGCATCATGGGATTGCAAGTTTACATCAATAAAGTAACAATAAAATATCAAAATAATTTTTAAAAATCTCTCTCAACTACTGTAACCTTTTTATTCATAGAGACGAAATTTTGTGAGTCACCGTGACTTGCTCTCCAAAAAAATCACTGTGACTCACTGTTTTAAACAATCCCCAAATTTGGCAATTTTGCCTACTCACAAATTCACAAACATTTAAATGTCTCCCATGAAAATAAAATGACTCACAAAATCTACTGAAACTTAAACCAATGCAATACTTATTATCTATCAAGCTACATTACAGCACCATAACAGCCCTAATGTAAATACTTCAATTTACACGATTATTAAAATGAGACAAATTATCATATCAATCCTGTGATGCCCTAATTATTCGCTACGGTAGTATAGTTTTCAGGAATTTAATTATTAATTTTACGAAAACTGAGCTCGTACATCATCGCCCCAAAATGGGCAGCCATCTTTGTATAAAGTCCAGTTTGTTGTCCGCAGATAAAATTAAGCATACTAAGTCATGGCAGGCGGATTGTTTCAAACTGGCTGGCTGCTGATGTTTTTCATCACAAATATTTTTGACAAGTTGTTTTTCTAAAATGTGCAACAATACAGGCTTCACCTAGTTTGGGTGGTTATTGTTTGATGCTGGTAATGTTTTCACAGCAGCATGCTAATATTTTTACAAAACTACATATTTCCATAGAATTCATCATCAATATTTAGAGAGGTGTCAATATGCTTGGCGGGGTTTCTATTATTTGTGAGTCTCTATGGTAATTAGCAAAGCAACACGGAGATGCATGGTTGTTTTTGCAAGTCGATGTCTTACACTGATGCAGCATCTCATGCACATTCCATAACCCACCTAACACACTGAAGAAACAACCATTAAACCCTAAGAAAACAAGAACAGAGTTTCTTGATGTCACCCAGTTCAGCATGGTGCAGTAAAGAAAGCCAGACAGTACGACCCAGGCCAGCATCAAGTCTGAAATTTACCAGTCTTGACTCTCACTCACAGTACTCAGCCATTCACGCAGTAACTGACAAAGCTGAGGAGATTTTTCATTAATTTTGCGCCGTTTCTAAGCACACATTTGTCTCTTGAATTCATTATCCATGTATAGGAGTTAGAGGCAACATGTCAGAACCTTAGTGAGGCCAACCAACTAAATGACACAATTTGTCAATGTCAATTTTGCCCTCTTTTGACTAGTAATGCAAATAACTTGGTCTGGTTCAACTTTGACAACAATGCCCTGTATTTGTCTTTGCTTGACCTAAAGCTGTCAGGAAATGCAGTCATAAATCCTCACTGGTGACTATCTAAATAGCATTTCCACACACTTTGCATCTCTTCTTTTGTACTCCATCTTATAACACTCAAGGACAATGCTCAGTAACACTAACCTCTGCACTAATAAACAAGGGAATTCAAGTTTTATTAAATTACACAAAACCTGGACTTGTTAAATATGTTGTTTTTTTAATTCCCAAATATGCTGTGGACATAAGTAATTTTAAAACAGTGATGTGAATGTCTACTGGTTTGCTCATTCAAATATTTCTAGTTCCAGATTCAGAAAAAAAAGTTAAAAAGTTCACGTGAAAAATATAAATAGTTTAATTGGGTAATAAATTCAGGAACTAGTTTAGTGAGGAAAATAAATGTATTTTTGTTGATTGCCAATTAAATTAAACTGCTTTATTTCATGATTTTTTTTTATGATTTATGAAGTCCTGAAAAGCACAGTGCTTTGTTGGCGTCAGTTTCACTGGTGTCCTTAAAGTCAAGTCACAGTACCGTTCACAATTCATTATAGAACACTATAATTTTGCAATTTTAGCGAATTTGACTAAATGCATAAATTAACAGATTCCTAAGTGTGTTAATACATTTTCTGTTAAATCAGTTACATCTTGAATTAGTGAAATTACAGATTAGCTAAAATACCATGGTAACTAAAAAGACATGTTTTACATCATCTTCCAAAATGCTGTAAATTACCAACGGCAAAAATTAATAGTATTACACTAGTTTCAGGTTACTAAGAACATTTTGAAACTCAAAATGGTGGTTGAAAACTGTCCGAACAATCACAGCTACAATGTGTATTTGACATCACTAGTCAGGATAATGTAATTTTGAAATGTTCTGAGAATCGTCCAATCAGCAATCAGTTCTGTGAGTAGAGGGCTGTACAAATCCTAAACAATCAATCACAATCTCATATTTGAATTTGATGTTAAATTCATAAGTATTTACAAAAATTTACTGCGACAACATCCATGGATACGATAAACCAAAATAAGTGTAAATTGATTCACAGTATTTAGACCCCTGTCAACGTATTTTCATTGTGTATTAAATATTAGATTAAAGATACGAAACATTTTCGTGAGACACAGAAAATAATTTTCTAACAGCAAAAATTCTCAAAGTCCACAGTCACAATGACTTAAATAGGATTCCGTCATTACAAACATTGTGTGATGTAGATTGTGTGATGAATATGTAAACAAAAATGTAAATTTTGATGAAACGCTAATCTTCTTTATATTCACCTAGAAAAAAGTTCCTTTCAAATTGTTTTTTCAAAAATGACACAGTGGAGTTTTCTTTATTGATTTTTAAATTGACATAAAAAATGCGACTTTATTTTAATATTTCATGAAAATTTACTCCTTATTTTGATTTTAAATTCTGACAAACACCCGCAAAAAAAACAAACACATATGATATGTAATATTGTCTTTTCTATCATCAGGACTTTAGTTGGAAATTGTTAGAAGTTGACTCAAAGCATGGTAGTGTAAGCCACGGTGGTTATGATAATGTTACACTTACAAATAGTCATTGTGACGCTACTTAAAAGTAAAAATAATTAATGTTACTTTATTTTACATACGTGTTATTTCACATTTTATCATGAAAAGAATGTCATTCAAAGTTTTTTTATTTTGATATGATTAAAACAGGAGACACAGTTTTTACAGTATTTTAGTGGAATTATAACAACAAATGTGTTCTCATTGTGGTCTATGATAAATTGCTATTTTATGCGTATCATTTTACAGATTTTCCCAAAAAACAGATTAACAATGAACAGAAAAACACACATACTTTTATCTAATATTCAATAAATGATTAATTATAGATAGATATTGATACGTATAATGTCATGGCTACATGCACTATAAAAATGTACACATTCTAACTTTAAGAACCTCCCCCGAGTAAAGCAGCTTAAAATTTGTCAGTTCACAATATATTAATTGCATAAATCATTTTTAATGTATATCACTCAAATTCAATTGATTTTCAAACTTTATTATTTTCCCTTTTTCTCTGATTATTACGGACTGTGTATTTCAAAATTGTATCTATGTTTTATATTGCTTGCTTACTAATTAATGTAGATTTGACAATATATAAATTATCCATTACTTGGTTTTAAAACATGAATTATGGGTAGAGTCTCGTAAATGTAATACACTAAGTAGCTGCAAAACCGATTTCAATGCAATAATGTTATAAACTAAGGTAACCGAAGAATGGTGTTTTTTATTTACGATTTGAATTGTAAACTTTTTTATAAAATTGACAGACAGTTGTGTTTACCTCAATGTCATCGGTATAAAATCTAACATACAAAACAGTTATTAAGTCCATGGGGTAAAAGATTTCTGATTCTATTATTAAATATTCAAAGTCAACACAGAATATCTAACTGCTTTAGTCGGGCATAAACTTGAACTATCTTTGTTACAAAATGGCTGCCGCCGTTTGTCTGTAGGAAACACGGGGCGACATACGTACCAATGTTTCCATGTGGGGTGGGGTGTAAACTTGTAGTGATATTTGACGTTTTGTTTATCAATCATGTCAAATTCCCTACCTTCAGGCTACAGACACATGTCAAATATCAACAGACTTGGCATCTCAGGTAAATTCCGCAATTCAGTTCTAAAAATTTTCAATATGTGGCTGTTTTAGTGGCCAATTCCCCGTGTTGTTCTGCATTCGAGCATGGAATTATAGTTCCATGATTCGAGTATCTAACTAACTGATAAATGCATTGATAATAGTATTTCGGACGGGCTCTGTAAAATGCGTGCCCAATCGAATAATCGGTAACAAAATACATAAACCACTTAAAGTTTTAAAATTGAATTTCATTTCACGTCGACAAATTTGGTGTGCGTGAACTTGTTAGTAAGTGATAAATAGGTGCTAATGAAAGGCCAACCCCTCTCGTCAAATAAGACGACGTTCAAGTAACATTCAATAGTTATATTGCTCTACGGACGTCGTCAAAGTTATCACCGATACACGTCAAACTCTCGCTAACTGACCGTTTTACGATTTCCTTTTTTTACACTTATATGTACCTGTCATTTTAATGTGTATACATACTAGCCGCACGAGAGCGCGTAAATCAATGTCTAATTAGGCGAAATGGCGCTCAACAAATATTAAAGAGAATTGTGAGTGAGTAGCGAGTAACGTTAATTGTAACAGCGCTGTAAAATCGGCTGTAACGCGTAGATTAGGGAGCAATAACTACAACGCACGGCCATTGCAAACTTGTGAGGTCTTTGATGTTTGACTGGAGGCAAGATCTGATCGCAACAAGCGGACTAAAAGCTGCGATCACACGAAAGGTATCGTATTTACATATAGGCAGAACTTGAAGGGAAAACTACATTTACATAGAGATTACCTCTTTGTGCCATTATCACGCTCAGTGTTGAAACAAACAAGACTAGGTTCACCAGCTTCGCCATCTTGGACTGCTTTAGTACGATCGGTGGATGCCAGGTCGGTCAAAGTACGCCCCGAACACGCTGTTATTTGTATGCGACTGCAAACCTGGTTGGACAGGAAAAAACAACTACGTTAATGAAGGCGGTAGTGTCGTTGTAAAAGAGCCTAACAAAACGTGACCAACGACACTACGATGATCAACTGGTAATCATAATAGCGTAATGGTGTGGGTGAAAGAAAAAAAGTAGAGCTACAAGTAATTTAACACATTGCCCTACGAGAATGATCGATGGCCATTGCTTTGTAATATGACAGATAGCCTGCAGTTTATCCTGTCGCGACATAACTTCCAACACTGGCACAACCGATATATTATGTTGTAGATACATATGCATACAGTAGCCAACTTAATATCTAGCGTACTGGAGCCCGCAAATTATGAACTAAATTAAGCGTAAGTGTATATAATGTGGCCAAACACACGCGTCATCCGTTCACAGCACAATAAAGATCGCCTAGTAAAACGCAACACCACCTTGGTTCTCCAAAAATGTCGAGAAGTGTAACACCTCAATACTTTAAATGCTGGCAATTCAGATGCATCAATGGTGGAGTCATAACAGCACCATGTCTTAATTCATCACTGGTTTAACTCAATAACCAGAACAGCTAGTAAATTTCCTTCCGATTGTCGCGTCCCGGATAGTCCGTGTATACGTCTTCAGCAGGACTTGTCTTATTTCTCCAATGGCAATATAGGATGTCGGTGTGCACACTTTGGTTTTTCTTTTGGTATTGTCCCACACTACAGCATGCATGAAGGTAATCACACAGCTCCTATACAATAACACAGGCTTCCTTTGTTGTATAGAATTGTACGTAATCCAACAAGCGCTGTGGCTATTAAGTACCTAGCAACGGAACCAAAGGCGCACTCGTTGAAAAAGACATCTACTCGGCCAGTTCCACTCACCGTCCAACATACACTGTTTCATTTGAATAAAGACACCAACGTGAAGCACTGGTTTTTCGCTGAGTTGGTTTCATACAATGCGGACACTTTTCAGAAGGCACCTACAACGATCACAGAGTCCCACTATTCAAATGCTAATATAACTAGTGGCCAATTATACCGAGGGTATTACGGAAACAATCCAACTGAACAACGCCAATGTATATAAAAATAATAAAGGCCACCAGAGAGAAACGGCACAAACAAGCCTTCAAACTTTGAGCGGCGGGTAACGAATAACTAGACCCCGGTAGTCCGACGTTGAGGTCACATATATTAAAACTAGCTTTTGCTGTTCTGCTGTGGTATACGTATCTGATTTCAATCGAAAGCTTTGGTGGGGCTTGGCATGCTTTGCGGGGCGCCAAACCTAGTGCTCAACTCGAGCATCTAACAGGCTATCCCGGTTGTTCATCGAACAATGCAAAGAAACTGAGACGATGGCCAAATGAAAGACCGCCTTTTCCACCAAAGTGCGTGCAAGCCAGTCGACCGAAACGGTCATAAAAGCGTATCGTGAAATCGTAGTAAAAATACCGAGCCGCGTTTTGCTACTCGGTTTGCCGTGACATGGACAGCTACACGCTCGTAGCTGGATGCAATCAACGAACAGTATTGACAGCTCTTTGAAGAGTCATGGGAAAATACATATCGACCAATCACTACACAGGAGACATGGGTGACCGAAGTTCCCATTATTGTCGGCACCCCCCTGGAATGCATCCGTCCCGAAACCTTTTGGCCTATGCACTCAGGTTTCAAGTTACAACATCGGTACTATTTAAGTTTTTAAAAGGACTAAGTTTAATTGCACAAATTGGTATACATGTAAATATACACTCCCACTAATAATAACTTATTTCAAAGCAAGCCTGATTTGCACGATTCTTAGATGTTTCCTTAGTAGTCAGTCTGTAAGTGAATACCAGACACTCCCAACTGATCTTGCTGCTCGTTTTTCCCAAACTCCTTCACTTCAAACGATACTCCTTACTCAACGCCATTTACTTTAAAAGCAACACATTACAATGGGCACTTTGTGAATGGAATTTTATAACACGTTTTGCCATGCCACTTGAGAGACTTTATGAAACAGGCTACAATTAAAGTTGATTGCCAATGTGAAAATCCTAAACTCAGCCCACATTTAGGGTGCTCATCGGTTACCCTGACAACAACCATCCCTTTCATATATGGCATGAAATTGAAAGTGTCGGTGTATTTGTTTAATGGCCACAAGTATGCTTCTTTATGAGGGAGACCGGTTTGTTTTAGAACCACGTTCATGTCAATGAAGGAGTGTCGTTTGAACGTGTGTAAATTACTCGCCGCCAGACAGATACACACGTGGGACCTCCCACCAAAGGTACCCACTCGTGATCACAAAATGGTAAGACGAATAATGAATTTCATCACAGGACATTGACGACACTGAGAAAAGAAGGCAAGCATTTACCGCCATTACCACGCTATCATTGCGTTTATCACATTAAACTAACTCATTCATAACACGGCTTTCTCTTCTAAAATAATGCCCAAGATATATGCAGTTTCTTCACAGAAACAGTCTCGCCATGATACCATTGACTACAGTTACCTCTTTCTATCGATTGTCCACTACGACCCCGGAGTGCAGGTGCATGATTCTGTATGCTAATTTCATCTTGTCAGTTTTTTAGTTATAGTTTAAACAAACTTGCTGTCTAAACAGATAAACTTAAATACCATAACCTACTCCAGTTATAAATAAACACTCAAATAACCGCCCAATACGTCTCAACTGTATACCTGTCAAGTGGCAAAAAAAAAAAGCGAGCGCATTGTTTCACACAGAAAAGGGCGCAGTACGTTAATAACGCTACACCAATGCTGGCATAGTTCAGAACAGAAATACTCGCTGATAACCGTCAATCCCTTCAACATATTTGACCTAGTGTATGGCTAGTGTGCTTCACCATGTTTACGACTGCCAGGAAGAGCAGGTTATAGTATATAGTAGTATAGTAAATTAAATCATTACTGTACAGTTAAACGCATATGTACTGGATTCAGTCACCGAAGAGTAAAAATATCAACAATGAGTTGTAACACACGTCTCGTCTTTTTTTATCGCGATTTAGTCCATAAAAAGTAATAGATACATCGACATAAAGCACATTAAACGCTAGATTGACATCCCCTTGACAATATAGATCACCAAAGCGTAACCATTTATCATAAAATCTTCACTATCCAGAGTGCGCATTAATCCACCTTATATGGAGCGCATATAAATCACTCAGAAATTTTCACAAGAAGGCGAATCATTGTCAGTAATAAAGAGATCGGCAAACCCGTGTATTCATCAACTTATTGTAAAGTTACAAGTGTGTTTGTTCCTCAATAGCGCTCAAGTTATGTCGCAAAGCAGTCATATCACATCGCCCATACATATATAACAGTAAATTGTCTTCTGAAGCACGTTAATAGTCGTAAAATTACAATTACGGCAATTTACTGTTTATTCATTAATTATGGCAATAAAATGTTACGACTTTCAACTTACCTCTGATCCAGGCTATTCAGCAACGCACAATAACGACGCATTAAATACTACTACAGGGCGCTGGTCGTGGAGTGAAGCAACACTCAAACACCAGTGTAACTCCTCAAATTGGAGCGTAAAAAACAACGATTGTTCGTTGCCAACAGTCGGAACAAATCGAACCAAAGGACTTCTTAAAAGCCTTCTTTGTCCATCGATTTTTAGAAAACAAATTGAAAGAATCTGGATGGTTAGTCAGATTTTACACCGTGCATTCATTCGCATAACATTGAACACACTCTTCTCGATAGGCTTGCCATTAAAATACTGTCCGACTCGCCACAATACTAAACAACTGTTTACTCAATGGCCAGCGTGTTAGTGGGGCATTGACGAGAACTCTATTCACAAAGATCTGCAGTCCTTGTTGATTTCAACCCCCTGGCAAGTAAGCAATGCATGCCGCCGGACGATATCAAATGTACCTACATTAGAGGGGTGTTAGGCGTCTACATCCTAGGTGCTATAGTAATTCATATGTTCCTTTCAACTTTTCTAACCTATAACTGCAGGCTTCATGCTGTAAAACCTCAATTCTTACCTTCTTCAATGTACAATATTTTACTTAAGTGCGCTATTAGATCGAAATGATTTGTACCCCCTACCAACATGTATAGTGCCCGATATACTGCCATTACGGGAGAAATGTATTCCTTAATATAAACACACTTAAAAAAAAACGAATAGCTTTACTCTATATTGCATATTCATACAATACGATTGGAGAGCAATTTGCCCACAGGGGGAACGGGGCAAATCGAATGTCCTACATGACAAATGGGACAATGAAAAAGGCCCGTAGGGCTACGAGGCAATTTAATAATTCTCCGGATCCGAGTACAGTGTAGTATCGAGCAGTAACATATATGTACGCTAAGACGTCCAATCAGGTGCAAGTGATTCATCTTAATTGTTAATTAATGTAAACATTGGCGTAATACATTACGTGACCACGTGGGACATATATTACATCGTATTTACTTAATACGTACTTCCCAGTTGCTTTGCCAAAATGTATTAATTATCACATGATTTACCCCCCCCCCTCGCCTCCGGTGTCACATTTTGAGGCGATTTAACAATTCTGGTGCAGTTAAAATGATGAATGGTGTAAATAACATTAACACAGAAGAAATGCGTTAAAGTATCGATTGTAGAAAATAATATAATTCAGCTTCAATAATGTTATTTTAGACAGAAAGTATTGCTCAATGAAAGATTCTTTAAAAATTTCCTGAATGGGGTGATTTGTACGTAGTCATGGCAACAACACATTACATTAAATCAATCAGTCCACGCATTCTACGAAATAATGGGTAGACACTGAAATCAATTTCTAGATGAAAAGTTAAAATGTGCAATTTTCCAAAAAGTCACAGACTGGATCAATAATTAAATATACGGCGATTGATTCTGTGTTAATATTATACAGTAGTCATTTCATATAGACGAAGAAAGGTCAGTATGTTATCCAAGTTTTAATATGTTTTCAACTGCCTGTGTTAATACTGAGTTCTATTACATATTCCCCGGGGTATTGTAGCCATTACATTCTATAGATATTTGCTGATTATAAATTATAACACGGAATTAAGTATAGAAAACATAGCATTACATAGATACCACTATAGATTATAAGAGGCCAGTGTTACTGCACTGCTCTATAAAAATGATATATTATGGTGAAGTCCAATATTTAATAAAACCAAGGGAGATTTACTGTTGACCTGTGTCGAGTCACTGTCATTAACTCATACTAGATATTCATCTTGCTCCGGCGTTCTCTAAATTGATTTTTGATGACTAAATTGGGTTAGACGCGTGGGTGCCTCCGATAACTCACGAACGCACATGTACATGTAATACACTGATGGAAAGTAGATTTGTCTTGCCGGCTCTCTGACAAGCCCGTATCAAACCAATTGATTTATAACAAAGAAGCAAGTTCATTAGCATTATGTTAGTACTACTGTGCAAGAACCGGTGAATCGTTTATATCATAGTGACGGGAAGTGGCAGACCTCGAGACGTAAATACAAGGTATGGTGAGATGCAGTACAACTATGTACCAGGATGCAAGGTAAAGTGGGAAGTAGTACAAATCGGTACCAGGATGCAAGGTAAAGTGGGAAGCAGTACAACTCGGTACCAGGATGCAAGGTAAAGTGGGAAGCAGTACAACTCGGTACCAGGATGCAAGGTAAAGTGGGAAGCAGTACAACTCGGTACCAGGATGCAGGGTAAAGTGGGAAGCTGCACAACTCGGTACCAGGATGCAGGGTAAAGTGGGAAGCAGTACAACTCGGTACCAGGATGCAGAGTAAAGTTGAAAGCTGCACAACTCAGTACCAGGATGCGAGGTAAAATGGGAAGCTGCACAACTCAGTGCCAGGATGCAAGGTAAAGTGGGAAGCAATACAACTCGGTACCAGGATGC